CACAACCAAGGACCAGGCCTAGAAAAAGGGGGCAAAGCCCCCTGAACAAGTGTCTGTACCTAGGATTCACGCTCAAAATAATTTTGGATCCGTGTTTTCCACTACAATGCAACTGCATAAAAATATAAAGTAAATGTTGGAATTAAAACAGAATTGAAAAACTTGGGCTTCCAGGAAGCCTTAGAAGACACACTTTTTCCGTATTCTTCCCACTAAGCACAACTAAAAACCCTGGACATTGTATAAAAGTAAGTGTCAGAAGACTCTGAATAGTAGAGAGAAGAAAGTAGACTGGCTCACAACCCTGGGATCCAAGAAACACCACCATGGTAAGTTTCCTGGGATTTCTTTTTGCCTCAAATATCCCAGACTCGGAGCTGAAAACGACAGGCTGGTGAGGTCAATGGAAGCAGTCAAAAAAAGCCCCCCAAAAAGGGAGGAGAATCTGGCCCCATCTTTTTGAGGGAGAAAACTAAGAATCCTCTCTCAATTCATCACTGAGGGAGGGCGAAGAGAACATCATTTCGGGTTCCTTAGCACTCAAGAAAGGAAATCAAGTCTCTAACTTGCAGAAATGTGAAAAGAAATGACTTTGTCTTTAATCAGCAAGACAGGATGATGGCAGAGTAAGTACTTGACAAGAAGGATACCTTGGCCAGGCAAGGTGGCTCAAGCCTGTAATCCCAGCACTTCAGGAGGCTGAGGCAAGAAGATTGCCTGAGCCCAGGGGTTCAAGACTAGCATGGGTAACTTGGTGAGACCTTGTCTCTACAATATATCAAAAAAAAATTAGCTGGGCGTGGTAGCATGCGCCTGTAGTTCAGGTTACTTGGAAGGCTGAGGTTGAAGGATTACCTGAGCCCAGCAGGTTGACGCTAGGATGGCCATGAGCATGCCACTGCACTCCAGCCTGGGTGACAGAGTGAGACTCTGACTCCTAAATAAAGAAGCAAACCCTCCATCTCTCTAATACCTAAGGTCTGCCAAGGATTGGTGGAAGGAAACTGAGTTCACCGAAGACTGTTTCACCAGCCATCCCTCAGAACACTCTGGAATCGAACTTTGGGTTAACCTACATCATTGCGCAGGACACATGCCCTCCCCTCAGCCCCTCTTTGTTACAGTGGCTTTGATTGTGTTGCTCTTTGGCGTCAACTATTCCTTCTTAGATGTTCTGAGGGACAGCCTCTGTATTTATTACAAGGATGCAGCTGAAGACATATTCAGGGTTCTCTTTCTGAGCATGCCCTAGACAATTTTCTTTCTGGCCTTACAGATGCATTTGAAAGAAAGAAACTCCTGGTTGGCTTTAATCATGTGGACATTGTGAATCACAAAACTAATCATAACTTCCTCTTTGGGTAGGCTGCTAGAAAATTTAAAATTGAGTCAGTGGCCTATTGTGAGCAACCCCACAGCACCCATGACACATTTTGCAGACTAACCCCATTGAATAGCTATTCTTGTATCTCCTTGGCCTCATCATCTAATTTATTTCCAATTTAAGTAATCATATTTTATGGAGCTCTCATAAATAACCTTAATTTTTTTAAGACCTGGGGTACATAAATATATAATTATAAAGGGCAAGAATAACATGAGTGTGGCCATATGTGCACTGTCACAGAATATTTTTAGGTCTTTATAAAGTGCATTTATTACCAGGATAAGTAGGATGTTTATAAGAATGAGAATTCCAGAAGAAATCAAAAAGAGCCAGAAATTGGGGTAAAAGAAATAACTGGAATTATGTTGTGTGTCCCAAGATATTCTTTCTGGGCCATGCTGCACATTACCCAGGCATTGCAAATATGAATTACCCTACATAGAATTCCCCCTTGAGAGAGAAGAAAATGACAGTGGTGGCATTTGAGAGCTTCTCTGAGGTGATAAGAGAATCTTATGACCCTCTACGGGGACTCATATTGCTTTCTATTTAGGATCTAATGTTTCTTGGACTTTCATGCGTGTGGACATCACGAATGATGGGTCCCCTAATGGAAGACAGGCAACAAAGGAACAAAAGAGTCTGATTCTTGCCACATCCAGGCCATAACCCGGGAAAGAATCACCCAGAAGGAGGCACAATTTTGTTCCCATTTCAATAAAACTCAGAAATACATCTTATAAGGCATCCCATCAAATTCTCCTCCGTTGTTTTTTCTCAGCGGTGGCACTAAAGAAGAGGCTTGAGAAAGCTTCCTCCAAACTACCCCAGACAAATGAACGATTTACGTAGCCACAGTACGCTTTGACATGCAACCTCAGCTTCAAGATAACCATTTTTCCTCCTCTAAGGAGTCTGCCATCCCTAAGCAGTTCTGACTTACATATGGAGCTCACACTGCTTATTTTCACAAACCCCAAATGCGCTTCCTCCAAAAACACCTCTAAAACGGACCTGTGTGTTTGTGATGTAGCAGGGCAGAGGGACAAGTCGGGAAATGGCCTTGTGCTTGTCAACACACAGGGGAGTGAAGAAAACAGTCTAAGAGGTCTTCAGAGTTCTCCAGAAATAAAAGATAGGTCAGACTCCTCTGTAGCAGAATGAGCATAGGTTTTGCCGTGTGGGGCAAGAGTGGAACCCAAACTCCCAAACTCTACAACCTCTGAGAGGTGGAGCAGTCTAGGACAACTCACTTAACCAATTAGAGCTTCCGTTCTCTCCCGGAAAGGTTGATGGAAGGGTTTAATTAAATGCAGTCCCCGGGGTTATCCTGCAAACTGCAAAGCACTTTACATGCGCCAGTTACTAGTAACAGCAATAGGAATATGGAGCCAACCTTATTTTTAAGAAAATATTTGGAATTTTCTGTCTCTTCTTTATGGCCATGTGTATCCAATTTTCACCCAATAGAAATCCCCTTTATTTGTGGTAGCTTCATCAAGTCTCCATGACTTCACCCAAAGAGTCTGATTCTTACTGATTTCATTTTCTTATCACTTAGCCAAGGGGATGTCTCCACACATAGCTCAGAGAAAGTAATAATAAGAAAGTAATCAAAAACATTTGGAATACCCACAATCTATAAAAATTGCATAAGCCTGGCTGTTCAAACACCTTTCTGGAAACACAAAACATCACTTTCCCTCCAGAAATTCCTAAGACCTTCCTTAAGAGCTTTTTGAGAATTCTTTGTAACAACTGCTCATATATAATAGAACTGACAGAATAGATCAGTTTGGTGTTTAAAACAGTTACAATGTGGCCTCAAAGACTGACAAAAGCCCTATTTTCAATTTTTTGAAGGAAAAAAATCAACCTTGGACTACCTGAACTTTTAATGAAAGCCAAACTGTGCAAGCCAATAGTTCTAAGACAATGGAAGCTCTATTTAAGAGAAAGAAAAAAAAAAAGATTTACTTAGAATTCAGTTATGGATATTTGTAAGTAATTCCAAGATCTAAGGATACTTTCTGCAGTATTTCTTTCATTCTCTGCAGAGATGTGTAGTGCTAGAAAACTATTTTAGAAGTCTACCCTCTGGAGCTATATGCTTGTTACAGGGAAAAAGATAGAAAAATTAATAACTTATTGGTGTCCCAGCATGTTTCAAATATGTGTGTATAACTGCCAGGGTCAGCCCATTTCTGGACTTTGGCATTTGGAATAAAAAGTGCAGGAATATGAGACAGAAAGAAGGTACAACATGTGAGAACAGACGGAAGGAGAGACAGTAAGAAAAGAAAACGAAATGGGGGGAAACAATCAAAAGACTGAGAACGGATTTTTGAGGATACATCACTGAATAAATGACAAGAATTTGCCTATTATAGTGCCCCATATCTAGTGAACAACCGTTCTAGTTGAACAAGCTAAGATCTTGAATAAATTTAACTTTGCTCATTCTATCTTTACATCAGAACTGTGATGGGCTTAGAATTTAGAAAAACCTCAGAAAACGTCTCACGGTGTTGTTACCCAGTGCAATGCCTACACAACATAGCTACATTTCTACCCCAACTTAACCCTGCTAATCTTTAAGAAACAGAAAGGGCTGCACACGGGAGTTCCCCTTCTGACCATTCCAACTAAATCAGCAGGATCCAAGATGGCAGCCCACTCGACCTCTGCAGACCCTCAAACCTCTTTATAAAGTGCTGTCCACACGAAACGACACACCCCTCAGCAGCCATGACAGGAAACAGCGGACCAAAAGAAAGGAGAGAAAAGGGGCATGATCCTAACTCCAGGAAATCTCAGCCCATTCCTAGAAGAGGTATAAATATTCCTCCCATTGCTTTTCATGTCCAAGTCCTTCATTAAAGGAACTCTATATTTTAACCTCCTCGGCTCTCACCAGGGAGAATCAAAGCTTGCCGTGTTTGACCCTCACTTGTGGTTTCGTATATTGGCTTCCCAACACTGGACAGGAAAGAACCCCATTTCTGGAGCAAAGCTGATTTTGTCGGTAACATGACAGTACAGAGACCTTTTCTAAAGGCAGCTGAGCAGCACAGCAGTTCTGGTGATATCTGCAAATCCACCCCCAACTCCTGCGTACGAAAGACCGCAACTGTTTATAAATTGTGAGCATTTGTAAGTCCAAAGAGCTAAGGGTGCTGTCCATAGCATTTCCTCTACAGAGTTGAAGAGTATCACGCCACTAGGTTAGAACCCCCTGCGAGGGCTGGCCAGTTTAATGGCAGCTGTAGAGGAGACTCATTAGCAAAGACAGAAGTATTGGGGGAACGAAAGCCACTCCAGCATCCTCTTTGGCACCCAGGGGAAACTGGAGATGACCGGCTCACCCGCCCTTCAGAAGGACTAACCTCCCACCGGCTCCCCTGCACCCAGGGAACTCTGTCCCCCTAATTCCTTAGCGGATGAGGAAGGGAGGGCTGTTGATTCTAGGAATCCATCCTCCCCCCTTTGCTTCCACCAGCCTGTTTCCTTGGGGCGTGTAAGCAGCGAAGTGGTAAGCCTTCTGTTCTCGGGCCAGCATGCCGGTGGGGAGGAAAGATGACAAGAGCTGCTTTTAGAAGGTAGATCTGCAAACCTTTTTGCACAGGTAGCACCGGATTTGAGTTGCAGCAGCCTGTCCTCCAGAGCCAGTTTTTTTCCTAGCAGTGTCCTCTTTTCCTAGGAGAAAATAAGATAGGAATTTTGATTTGTGTGTGTGTGTGTGTGTTTGTGTGTGTGTGTGTGTGTGTGTGTGTGTGTGTGTGTGTGTGTGTGTGTGTGTTTGGTAAGGCATTCTTCTGGTAATACTGGAAATACAGCTTGAGCTAAGGATCTCATGCCACGAGCGCTGTTCCTCCCCACTCCCAGGGAAACCTGGTCAGGGATTCTCCTGTGTGTTCCACACACAGCTCAGTGGTATACCAGGAGTGGTCCTCAGGCCCTCACCTGCCCGCAAGGTGCTCCTCTCTGGCCACTGCAGAAATGTAGCCTGTGCAGTTCGGCCTCTCCCCACCCAGTCTTCCAAGGGTGGGCCCACCCACCGTGACACCTGCATCCCCTGCAACAGACTGAGTTGTCAGTATTCGAGGACGCTTGATACTTTTATTTGCTCTGGTGGCATCAGTCAGAAAGTAGTAAAGTGGTAAGCGTGTTTTTGATGAAGGATCAAGCCACTAACAATAAAACTGCTTCCCAATTAGGATACAGGAAAAACGATGACATCAAGAAATAATGGCTTCTAAAAAGACCTTAATGTGCCGGGCTCGGTGGCTCAGCCTGTAATCCCGCGCCTTGGGAGGCTGAGGTGAGTGGATTGCCTGAGCCAGCGGGTTCGAGACCCACCTGGGCAGTGAGACCTCATCTCTACAATAAATCAAAAACTCAGCCGGGCGTGATAGCGCATACCTGTAATTCCGGCTACTCGGAAGGCTGAGGCGGAAGGATCGCCGAGCCCAGCAGGTCGAGGCTGCGGTGGCCAGGAGCGGCCACTGCACTCCAGTCTGGGCGACTGAGACTCCAACTCAAAAAAAAAAAAAAAAGGCCTTAATGTGATTACTGAGTCAAACTCCATCCAATAGGAAAGTAGGCAAGTCCACAACAAAAAACCAAGCTGAAATGATTGTGTTTATTTTGTGTTTGATGGAAACATGCTGGGAAAAAAGAATCTGGAGCTTTGGCCCCCTGGTTTGGGTTGCCAGGTTGAGGAGAATTGACGAGAAACTACAGAGAGGTGGGGACTGATATCGGCAACACCCACAGAATTGACTGGAAGGGATGTTTTGAAAAGGTTGTTTAAAATCACTTCGTGCCACAGTACCGAAACAGGTACTTTGCAAGGAAACTTCACAAAGACTTTGCACATGGGATGATCTGGTTTTTAAAGCATTGGCCAATGTTTTAATCTCTCTAGGCCTTATCCCTGTTTAAAAAAAAAAAAAAATTGACCAAAACTTTGAAATATAAACAATCCACAACATGTGGTTTTAATGTCATATTGGGTCATTGTTTAATAATCTGATCTAAGAATTGTTTAATTCTCCAAGAAACTTTTCCCATGTCTGACTTTATTATTTATTATTTGATTAGAGCCCTGACTCTATGAAGTAGTATGTTAATTTGCCGATTTCTGCCTGATAGAAAAGATAATCACAAAGATTATGGTCTAATTGCCTTAAAGAATATTAACCAGTTTTTTAATTTAAACTAGTAATCCAATACTATATGCCCCTTTTTTCAAAATGCCAATAAATAGCTAGCTTCTCTAAATATTTTATTTAAACCAGCGTTCCCACCTTACTGGTTCCCTCATTAATTAGTGAGTTGCTTAAGACATTCTTTTTTCTTTTTCTTTTTCTTTTTTTTTTTTTTGAGTTAGAGTCTCACTCTTGTTGCCCAGGCTGGAGTGCAGTAGCACACCCATGGCCACCACAGCCTCAACCTGCTGGGCTTGGGCAATCCTTCTGCCTCAGCCTTTCAAGTAGATAGAACTACAGACACACACTACCTCGCCCGGCTAGTTTTTTTGTGTGTGTGTGATTTTATTGTAGAGACAAGGTCTCACCAAGTTGTTCAGGCTGGTCTCGAACTCACGGGCTCAGGCAACCCTCTCACCTCAGCCTCCCAAAGTGCTGGGATTATAGGCTGAGCCACCACACCCGGCCTCTTTCTTTTTTTGTTTTTAATTTTAAAGATGTGAGGTAAAATTCAGGATTAGGTACAAAAGTGCTCACCATACAGGTGAATATTGGGCCTCTCATTGGTCCTCACTTCACCTGGTTTAGGATCAAGTAGCCTTATTGATGTTATATGCTCTCCCTCCCTGCCTCTCTTGTCAGTGTTCTGCTACTGCCAATCCCTTTCTTGTAGTATTATGCTAGATGTTCAGGGCCCACTTATGAGTGAGAATATGCAATCCTCTGTTCTTTATTTCTGTGATAGATCACTGAGCATGTTCTAAATCTATCTAAGTTGCTGCGAACTCCATAATTTTGTCCTTTTTTATGGCTGTGTAGTATTCCATCATGTATATGCACTACATTTTTTCAATCTAGTCCATTTTCCATGGGCAGCACAGTTGGTTCCATGTTTATGCTCTTGTGAATAGTACTGCCATAAACACGCATGTGCAGGTATCTTTTTTGTAGAATGATTTGAGATCCTCTGGGTATATCTCCAGAAGGGGGATTGCTGGGTCATGTGGAAGGTCAATTTTTAGATCTTATAGAAATCGCCACACTGTTTTCCACAGAGATTGTACTAACTTACACTCCCACCAACAGTGTAGAAGCATTCTCTTTTCTCTGCATCTTCTCCAGCATCTGTTGTTTTTTTTGAGTTATTGATGATGGCCATTCTGACTAAAGTTAGCTGGTATCTCAGGGTGGTTTTGATTTGCATTTCTTTGATGATTAGTGAGGCTGAGTGTTTTTTTCATGTATTGGTTGGCTGCTCATATGTCTTCTTTGAGAAGTGTCTATTCATATTTTGTGCCTACTTTTTAATGGGGCTATTTGTTTTTTCATTTCGACACGTTTGAGTTCCTTATAGATCCTGGATGTTAGACCTTTGTCAGATATACAGGTGACAAATATCTTTTCCCATTCTGTGAGCTATCTCCCTGCTCTCTTGATGGTTTCTTTAGCTTTGCAGAAGCTTTTCAGTTTAATGAGGTCCCATTTGCCTGTCTTATCTCTTATGGCATGGGCTTTTGGGGTTTTGATTAGGAATTGGTTGCCTATTCCAATGTCTATAAGGGTGTGTCCTGCGTTTTCCAAGATTCTTATAGTTTGAGGTTTTACATTTAGTTATTTAATCCGTTTAGAGTTGAGTTTTTTGTATTGTGATAGATAGAAGTCCTGTTTCAGTCTTCTGTACGTGATCAGCCAATATTCCCAGCACTATTTCCTGAATAAGTTCTCTTCTCCCCAGTGGTCATTGGTGGAGGCTGTGTCAAAGATGAGTTGGCTGGGAAATTGAGGTTTTACTTTCAGAATCTCTATCATGTTCCATTGGTCTATATGCCTATTCTTGTGCCAGGCTGTTTTGATCAATATAGCCTTATAATAAAGTTTATATTTAGTAGGAAGTGTGCTATCTCCCACATTATTTCTTTTGCTGAGGACTGTTTTGTCTATTCGTGGTTGTTTTGGTTTCCATATGAATTTCTGTATGTCATTTCAAGGTCTGAGAAGAAGATGTTGGTAATTTAATGGGTATTGCATTGAATCTGTAGATTGCCTTGGGTAGGATAGACATCTTAACAATGTTGATTCTTCTAATCTATGAACAGGGATTATTTTTCCATTTGCCTGTGTCTTCTTTGATTTCTTTGAGCAGTGTTTTGTAGTTTTTGTTGTAACGTTCTTCTACTTCTCTGGTTGGGAAGATGCCAAGGTAACTTCACTTGTTGTGTGGTTATTGTGAATGGGATTGTGCTTTTATTTGGTACTCTGCCTGTTTGTTGATGGTAAATAAAAATGCGACTGTCTCTTGTACATTTATTTTGTACCCTGAGACTTTGCCAAAGTCCTTTTATCAGTGCAAGCATACTTTTGACAGATTCTCTTGGGTTTTCAAGGTATAGGATCATATCATCAGCAAAGAGGGATAACTTGACTTCCTCTTTTCCTATTTGGATGCCCCTGATTTCCTTCTCTTGACTGATTGCTCTAGCTAGGATTCCAACACTGTATTGGACAGGAGGGGTGAGAGTGGGCAGCCTTGACTTGTTCTGGTTTTCAGGGGAGATGCTTCCAATTTCTGTCCATTTAGTAATATGTTGGCTGTGGTTTTATCATAGATGAATCTTACTATTTTGAAGTATGTTCCCCCTATGCCTAGGTGTTCAAGGGTTTTTATCAAGAGTGGATGCTGTATTTTGTCAAGAGCCTTTTCTGCATCTAATGATATAATCCTGTGGTTCTTGTTTTTACATCTGTTGATGTATTGAATTACAATTATGGTCTTGTGGATGTTGAACCAGCCCTGCATCCCAGGGGTGAAGCCTACTTGGTCATGGTGGCTAACTCTTGAGATGTGTTATTCGATCTGATTTGCTAAAACTTTGTTGAGAATTTTTGCATCTACGTTCATCGGGGACACTGGTCTGTAGTTCTCTTTCTTTGTTGGGTCTTTGCCCAGTTTGGGTATCAGCGTGACGTTAGCTTCATAAAATGACTTGGGGAGAATCTTTCTCAATTGCCTGGAGTACTTTCAATAGGATTGGTATCAGCTCTTCCTTGTATGTTTTAAAGAATTCCGCTAGAAAGTCATCTGGTCCCGGGTTTTTTTTGTAGGTAGTTTTCTTATGACGGAGTCAACTTCCTGGGTTGTTATTGGTCTATTTAGAGTCTCAATGTCTTCTTGTTTCAACCTTAGGAGGTTGTGTGATGTCAGAAAGTCCTCCATTTCAGTTAGGTTCTCAAATTTACTTCCATATAGGTGTGTATTGTAATCTTTGATGATCTTTTGCATTTCTTCAGGGTCAGATGTGACTTGATCTTTTGTGTTTCTGAATGTATTTATTTGAGATTTTTCTCTGTTTTCCTTGGTCAGTCTGACTAGGGGGAGCCATCAATCTTGTTTATTCTTTCAAAGAATCAGTGTTTTGTTTTTTTCTATGATATTTTTTGTTTTTTTTGATTTTTTTCTATGATATTTTTGTCTTCTATGTCCTGTAT